AAAATGAATCAATTTAAAATATTGAAAACAACTATATACTAGTCGTTTTATTCGCTGTTTAATGTTACTGCATGATTCGTCAAATGTGAAGACCGTATAGGATTATTATTAACATGAAGGACAAAGAATGATTTGATGTTCTCGTTCTTACAGACTTTTGCAAACCAGGATGGCATGGCAGCCGCAGGTATTGCTATTTATTCAAAGATGATGATCTTGGAACGTTCGAAGAAGTGAAAAGAAAGTGCGCTGCAGAGAATGCCGTTCTTGCCAAAGTTCGCTTCGCCAATCCTTCCTTCCGATCTTTCATGAAAAGAGTTTGTCCAGATTGTCGTTCAATGTACGTTGGTGCGGAGAAGGTAAATATGATTCATTTGTGGTCGTCTCGATGTGTCTAACAGATTTGCTAAAAAGTTCATTTGCTCGTGGTGGGACTGGCGACAAACTATTTACCCACCGCGCAATTGATATAAATATAATAAATACGTGACTGTTGTTCAGTTACACGGTTTGGTTATAACTTATATCCCCTACCTGTATTGAAAGCGGCTTTCTGATTCGTTACCTGCGTTTCGTTGCTACGACTACTAGGTTTGAATAAAAATACCAGTATTTGGTCGGTAATGAAATTTAATATGATTTTCAGGCCAACCAAATCGAATGTTTTTCACATGGAACGGGATTAACCAAGATCTAAGGATGTCACGCCAGCAAACAATTGAGAAAATTCTTTGAAATAACTCAGTTGTAAATATCTTTGTATCTAAAGGAGCTGGCTATATAAGGGATGTCTTTGAGGGAAATTCCACGTCTAAAATAGTTTTCTATTCAATGTCAACCGATCATAATCCGCCAAAGTGATGTCATATACTAGTGTATACTGATAATTTAGCTATTTAAGTAAAACAATGGTTTTTCCTCAGGATCTCTAAATGAACTCGTTCTAGTTTTGCACCACAACAATTTTGATGACAGTCTTCATTCAAAATTTCGTGTTTGTTTAGACTACTCTCGACTGTTGTGCCAACATATCTATCTCCTGCGCAAGCGTGTCTGTGGGCGCAAAAATCAGGGAGTAAGCACGCGGGCAGGAAAACAATTCCCAATTAACCTGCAAACAGGCGTACTTTGCCTTACGAAATTATGGAATTCATTACGGCCTGGGAGGGGGTTGCCTGCATATTAAATCAAATATTACTGTCGATGCAATAGAAGTGTTGATAAAATATTGCATCTATTCCTTTGCTCAATTTGATCAATTCATGTGATAGAAAATTGATCAACTTCCTGTTACTTCTAGATAAGACAATTAGATTTCGTTTCAGAACCGATTGACCAATAGGAAACGCACAGGAAGCAAAAAGAAATTTGAATTCGTGTGAATTGATCAACTTGAGGAAATAAATTGATGCAATGTTTAATCGACACTTCTATTGCATCGACAGTAAGTAACTTTCAATTCAACAATCAATTTAGAATGGTAACAAATGGAGTTGGTTGGACTCATATAATAACACGGATATGACTGGCACTCTATGGGGAGCTGCTGAACCTCAAGCAGAGAACAGCTGTGCAGAATACGACACAGAACTACATGTCTTAACCACGTTAGCCTGCAACACTCCGCGTGGATACATGTGTCGTTATCAATGGTTATAGATTAAATGTGCATGTATGGAATTTTCAGGGACACGTTTTAGCAACCGCTACTCTTCGACAATTTTTTTTCAAATTTCATGCTTAGTACTAAGACTTGTCCATATGAGTCCAGTTAACGAGGAAGCTTACCTGTCGTATGCGTGGGTTGAATTATTTCTTTATCTAAGCTCATCTAATATCCCGCCTTGCGGTGGGACAATGTTATGTATAACTACACCGTGCAATACTATATACTGTATATATCAAGGACAAAATCGGTAAAAATGAGATAAAGCTTCCATATGGAAAATTTTATCGCACTTGACTGTGATCCCACCTAGGCACTATAGCATAGTGTATACTGTATAGCTAGCACAATAGGTGAGATCTCACGTATGGCCGGGCATATGATATGCATTGACAAAGGCTGTGATCTCACTCTGGCGAGTTTCCCGATTAGTTGCGCTCATTTGAACACACCCTTACATTCAGAAGTGCAGTATACTCTACACTCAGGCATTATATATATATTAATCCGATCAACGTACAGTATACCAATCACGTTTAATTAGCCCTATGATTGACTGAGTAGACAGTTGTCGAAATGTCTAATGTCTTACGTACACTCTGATACAAATATATATATATATATATATATATATATATATATATATATATATATATATATATATATATATATATAAAATAGTATGTGTTAGGTTATAAAAACCAATGATAGAGTGCTCAATGGATAACCAGAGCATAATAGAAAGACACAAAAACTTAGCAAGCTTTGTTTGGCATATTTATTACTATACAGTTTCGTACCACGTAAATAACGTGGCACTCTTCAGATAAAATAGCCTATGTTTGACCTATGGCTTCTTAACGAACTTTTTAAATATGTACAGATGGTATAAAGGACGCTTATCTAATTACAAATCAATTAACACCTCAAGTAGTGTCACGAAAATATTAGTATCAAGTTATAAAGTTTTTAAGTAGAAATTTATTAGCGTGTCTACACGTGGAGACAAGTTCGTTGCGACGATTAAGTGTTGCAATGTCCGGTTTACAAATAATAAAATACTTCTCCCAAATACACAAGTTACATCTCTTGGATGCATTACTGTAAGATTTAGCACGTTTTAAAATTTTCCATCTGATAGAGTAACTAATGTTGTTGTTCTTAAGATTCCAGATGTATTTACTTAATTCAGTAGAGTTGCGCTTCTCATAGTTATTAAATGAAGCCTTGTGATTGGTGTATCGGGTTTTGAATTCATTTTCTGTTAGTCCAACATATGTTTGAGTGGGCCGCTTGTCTGATGCTTTTACTGTGGCATGGTAGATAACAGATTTTGCTAGACAATTTTTTGACATAGGGCATTCACTTGGTTTTCGGCAATTGCACTTTTTTTCATCGGGGGTTTTAGCTCGTTGGGATAGCTTGGATTTGTTATGTCAGTCGATGTTTTGTTTCAAATTGCTCATGCAGCTGTAGCTAATCTTGACGGTATTTCTATAATTAGATACTAATATATCTAACATATCTAATATATCTAATATATCTAATATATCGGTATTTCTTTATAACTTGATACTAATATTTCGTGACACTGCTGAAGGTGTTAATTGATCTGTAATTAGATAAGCATTCTTTACCATCTGTACATATTTAAAAAGTTCGTTAGAAGCTAGAGGTCAAACATAGGCTATTTTATCTGAAGAGTGCCACGTTATTTACGTGGTACGAAACTGTATAGTAATAAATATGCCAAACAAAGCTTGCTAAGTTTTTGTGTCTTTATATATATATATATATATATATATATATATATATATATATATATATATATATATATATATATATATATATATATATATATATATATACAGGGTGTATCAAAAAAAGTAAGACAATTTTGAAATTGCTCTCAATTCCACAATTCTGTTCATGAAATGTAATTTTTGCTATATATGGATTGCTTGAGTTCTTAAAATGTGGAAAATATAAAAAAAATTGAAAATAGTAAATTTTGCTATCCAGGGGGGTGGTCAACTTTTGCCCCCCTAAAAGTGGCTTGCGCACAGAAATGACAAACGGTATTCTTTATTTGAGTTCATGTATGAAAAGTTCGCTATTTGTTGCATTTATGATAAAATTTCGGCAGGATTTTACCAAGTAAAAGTCCACCGAAAAGCCTATGAAAACGTTACATTTTTCTCCGTTGGTGCTGTTATTGCTTCATTATGAATTCATTTTTACTCCCATGAGAGTTCCGTGGAATTTCCATGGAATTTGTGCTTTCGAGTTGTTTGTGCTGAAACACATTTTCTCGTATAATACCCCGTACACTTTGAAATGGCGATGCCACAATTTACCCCGCAGCAGAGAGCTTTTATGGTATCAGAGTTCCTCCGTAGCAACAACGTAAACTTGGTTCGCCAAAGTTTCACGAAAGAATATCCAGATGTACGATGCCCTTCACGTGCGAATACGTGAAGGGCATCGTACATCTGGATATTCGTTCGTGAAACTTTGGCGAACCAAGTTTATGTTGTTGCTACGGAGGAACTCTGATACCATGCATAAAAGGTCTCTACTGCGGGGTAAATTGTGGCATCGCCATTTCAAAGTGTACGGGGTATTATACGAGAGAATGCGTTTCAGCACAAACAACTCGAAAGCACAAATTGCATGGAAATTCCACTGAACTCTCATGGGAGTAAAAATGAATTCATAATGAAGCAAGAACAGCACCAACCGAGAAAAATGTAACGTTTTCATAGGCTTTTCGGAGGATTTGTACTCGGTAAAATCCTGCCGAAATTTTATCATAAATGCAACAAATAGCGAACTTTTCATACATGAACTCAAATAAAGAATACCGTTTGTCATTTCCGTGCGCAAGCCACTTTTAGGGGAGCAAAAGTTGACCACCCCCCTGAATAGCAAAATTTACTATTTTCAAATTTTTTTATATTTTACACAATTTAAGAACCCAAGCAATCCATACATAGCAAAAATTATATTTCATGAACAGAATTGTGGAATTGAGAGCAATTTCAAAATTGTCTTACTTTTTTGATACACCCTGTATATATATATATATATATATATATATATATATATATATATATATATATATATATATATATATATATATATATATATATATATATATATATATATATATATATATATATATATATATATATATATATATATTTAAATTTAATGTGCTGCTACTTAATTAAGTTTCACGTATTACCGATCGTCAGAC